ACCAAAAAAAAAAAAAAAAAAAAAAAAAGTTTAAAAAACATTAGTTATAAGTTACTAACCACAGCTTACTGTCTTGCACTATTCACAACTTGACAGCTCAATAGAGTCGATACTGTCACACAGACATTCACAAAGGCTCACACAACACTAGAAAGCTGAAACCAGTTCTCAACAGACCAATCCCAAGTCACTTCAAAAAGAGTACAAAAATCAGAAAAGAAAACAGAACTTTGAAAGTTAAGACTTTCTAATTCATATTCATATGAAAATTGAAAATTTAAACTGTTAAGTTATTCAGATTTGCATAAGAACAGATCGGAGATCTGGTCAGGACCAGAACTAAGACGGGACCTCAGATCTGACCAAAATTCTCTCTCTCTCTCTCTCTCTCTCTCTTGATGTTCTGTGGTGCTTTGCAGCCAGCGCTGCATTTTCGGAATCGGACTCATCCTCATTCGATGAACTACCAGTGGTACAAGCACAGAGGGAGCTGTTGGAGGCATCTGGCGGCGTCAGGTAGCCCCCTGAAACGGCCAAAAAATACCAGGGGGATTTGTTGGGGGCAGCCTAGGACCCGAAAAACGTCCTAGGGCCCCCCGAAAAAAAATTGAATTTTTCAAAATTGGGCCCAATCCTGACCTGCCAGACCAGACACCGGACCCATACCCAGACAACCGGACCGTCTAGATGCCGGTCCAGACGTCCGGCCTGTTGCCATAATAATACAAACAACTTCTGCCTGGGCGTAACAAACTCTAGTTATTCGGTCCAGACGTCCGGCCTGTTGCCATGAAAATAATAATACAAACAACTTCTGCCTGGGCGTAACAAACTCTAGTTAAAAATCAAAAACCTAAAAGAAAATATATTTGACCGAACATGTCCGGGAGACGTTCGGCCGAACACCCAAACATGTTCGGTGTGCCACACAGCTACCAGTACTTCCTGCAAATGCAGCTGTGCATGCGCTGGGGCTTGCTGGGATGAACCGGCCAGCTGCACATGCTACACAAACCGGCATGAAACGAACATCGCGCGTGTTGTACTAGCAAAGACCTGCATGTGCACTGCCAAACTCTTTGAAAGTCCTGGTGGTTTAGACCGCTACTACGTCTGAGGCTCACGTCTTTCCCCCGCACACCGCTTTTCCGAAATCTCACCATGGCATTTTTGTTTCCGATTTGTGCTGGCGGCGCCGGCAGCCATTCTATTGCAGTTGCCTGAAGCCTCCAAACTTTTCAGAGAGGCTCTCTCATTTTCTCAAGGTGCCTGCGACCATGTACAGGTGCTTTAGGATTGTAATATTATGTAACAATCCAGGGCATTACCCTAGTCGGATGCTGACAGCCCAGATCCGGATTGCGCACTTCTTACGTAAGTGCACGAGCTGCAATGTGGGCCAAGTAGAACCTCCCATGGTGTGGGTCTGAGTTGCTTTACGCTACTAATACTACTCTTTTGTGCTGCTGTTGGAGATCCGCACATAAAATCACCACTACCACAGAAGATCTTTTTGCCCAGGTGGAAAAGAACTGAGCACCAGGCTTTGACGAAGCACCAGTGCAGCATGTTTTATGTCTTCTTGAAAGAGTTCTCCCTTGTACCTCCCTGTGCCACCTCACACGTCCCAGTCCCTCCTCATTCCCCCAGCAGTATTGCCTGCGGTGCGAGTTTGAGTTGTCTTACATTGTTAACATCGGTGTCTTTTTGTTGTCATGGCGATTGACACACGTTCTTGCATATGGTGCGTGAGTGTGCACATACATGCATGCTACCTCACCCCTCCTGGTTCTCTTCCCGCAAACGCACTCTCCTTCCTCTCCGTTCTCCTTTTCCTCCTCCAATCTATCGATCCATTGCAAGCATGTACCTTCATCCTATACCGGCTGCACTGATTCTTTTCTTGCACATTTCTCCTTTCTATTCTCTCCACCTTCGGTACACAATTCAACGCAGGCGTGCATCCCCGGCATGGACCCCATCGGTTTCCCACCCCTCTTTTTCCCAGTGCCCGACATTCCCCATGGATGCAGCCCCACAAGCCCCGTGCTTGTTTTCTTGACCAGTCCATTTCCTTGTTTGCTTTTTTCCCCGCATACACATCTTCCAGGTTGGCACATGCCACCTACGCCCCATTTACAGGCCCCCCATCAATTTTACATGCACTCCTCGTTCTCCGTCTGCTCGCGCTCACATATTCTATCACCTACCACCTCAAAACACGTTTTCTTTCCCTTCCTCTTTTACTTTCCTCTCCCTGTAGTTGTTGCACACCACGCACTTCTCCCAGTTCACACAGACTTCTAGCTCGTGAAATCATGCTACAGAACATGGAGAGAGCATTACATTTGCCCAAAAGACACCTCAGCAAACACACATCACCCCTCACATTGACCCACCCAAAAAAGCCCCACGTAACCCCGCAGATTGACCCACGCAAAAGCCCCCTCACGAGCACAGCACCAACCTCCGCACACAGTGCAGCACTGCTGTCGGTGCACGTTCGTATGATACGCAGCAGGCAGATATGCATGCACTTCCGCAACGACTGCTTTTGGCAGAAACTTGCTTGATGAAATTGTGGTAAGGTAGCATCGACTAAGCCTTCTTTGCTCACATCGCTCTCGCTTGAACGAGAAGCAAACTGAGGGAGACGACTGCGCCCAATCAACCGTTTTTGAGAGAGACGAGGGATGCATTGTTTTTGATTTAAAGCTTCAGACCAATCACAGAGCCGAAGACAGAACGACAGCCATGCGACAGGTCACACTACACCCACCAGAAGCCAGAAGTGTATGACTGTGCTCATAGCAGGCATGTGCACACTAGGACCTTTTCGACTCATCTCTGGAAGTGATTGCGTCTAACGCATCTTCGTCCAGATGCAATTGCGCTCAAATACATTTCCGAAGGTGCTGGAGCGAGTGATCAGAATCAGAACATCACAGGCCACGATTGTAATCATTACAAAATCAGTCAGAGATACAAATGCCAAATGGGGGTTGAAACATAATACGCTGCTTTCTGCAACATATCCATAACACATTCAAAAGAGTCTCGCGACCTCGAGTTAACTTCCATCACCTTCCCTCGTAGCGAGGATTGCAATTGCAATTCCCATATTGTACCTCAGTCTCACACTGTGGTGTGATGCCAGATTGGCCAGTAAGAAGATGGCCTGCCCTGGCTTAAGGGCGGGCCGAAGACCGATCAATGTCCAAGAACCATGGCCCTTTAATTAATTAGGAAGTCTAAGTCAGCACAACTAATAATTTGACTGTATTTCCCTGTGCTGCAGTCTTTCACAGACTACGACCATGCTACCCGTAAATGCACCCAGCCATAGTGAAGATACAGCAGTGCCGTTGCTGACAGGAAGACGAGATAGACCACCCGTCCTTAAACACCTACAAGAAAAGATTCCTAGCCTCCAAGGGTTTCCGATCACCAGCCAGCTGTGCGGCTTGCAGCCATGTGCGGATTGAGCCCCGTGAACCCGATATGGCAGACTCTCCAGAAAGCCCAAAGAGGATCTAATGGAAAGGTCCCCAAGCTGGGGATCTTCGTCAGCAACCCGGACAATTTACACTAATTAGGAGTTTGGGTTATATAGTATATACCAATACAAGACCATGAGGCATACTACTCGACTTTCATGAAACAGACACTCCCTATCCCCCACTCCATACCCGGACAGGAAGACTATATTGCTGACTATATTGCTACATGAGTACATTTTTATAAACAACAGAGTACCCGCTCTGGTATATATACAAAGAAGACCTGTCCGTCCAGAACGCGCCTCCCCCCAACACTAATTACCGAAACACGGACTGCACCAACACTCTACCCGCCACATGCCCACTTCGACTGCATAGGGCCCAGGTAGCTGCTCTCACACAGAGTACCTGCAGAATGCCCGCACCACAGCGCCCTCCCACAGGAGAGAGACCACCAGACATGACAAACCACCCAGACCAGCATCAACGGCGAACAGATCCCATAATCTAGTAACCCTTACCCCTCAGACCCCACCCATCCTCCGCTTCCACCCCTTCTCCCCTAACCTGATACGGACGTGGTGGTGGTCGTAAGGAGTTGAGCAACGGCATTTCAAGGAAGGTATCGAGTCCTTAGCGGGCATCGTCTTCCTGTCAGCAGCCTCCACCTCTTTTGCTCCTCTCTACGGCAAAGAGCCATAGAATCAACAGGCTGCCCACGAGTAGATACTACTATATTCCTCCCTCCTTGTCATCGATACAACCTTAAAAGTTAAAACAGATTTAGGTGCCAGCAACGGCATTTCCAGGAAGGTATCGAGTCCTTAGCCATGAAACTCTGAGAGCTTGCAGCAGTCCAAACTTGCCCTGATAATACAACCCCTGCAAGGGCATGCAGAGTCGTTGGATGCCCGCTTGCCCTGATGGAGAAACGAGTTGACAAAGATGAGCTCCCCACCCACAAAATAGGCCCATTAGCGTGGGTCGACTCGTTGCCTGGGGAGAGGTATTCACAGGAGAAGAAGCCAGCCCGCAGTGAAAGCGCTACGTTCACCAACATCAGTGACAATGGACTTACATTATTGATTGTTCCGTAAATTCCCGTAGTATGATTCCAAGGCACTCGATTGAAAGCAAGGCAACACGTCTTTCTCGTGGAAACGTTGCAAGTACCGTTTGTTGCCTTCTTTAACCTGGGAAACGTTGTAGACACCTTGATGGTCGCACAGTGCATACTCCCTACTACACTTTCAGAGGATCATAAGCCACTGTTGCTGAGTCGTAAGACTCACACTCGACCCCCAGAGAAATTGTTGATTCCTTGCCGGTATGGTCTGAGCGAATGACGCCCGCTGACAATCACCAGGACGGATGCCAAAATGTTCTGGTCTGGCGTTGGCATTCAATCCTTGCCACACTGTTTCACCCTTCGCTGGTCGGAGACACGACTCCGTGCACAAGGTGACTGAATGATACCACTCGAGCTAAAGGCCCACGGGCCGGGACAACGATTAGGAACGACGTCCATGCTCTCGTGTTACAATCACTGCAAGCCCAGAAGAATGTGGTCGTATGACACTTCAATCAATAGCGTTGCTGGCTGTCAAGAGTCTGTGCAACGGCACGATCATTTGCAACCCCTTGCGAGTTCGAATTGTTTGCCGCTGAATCAAAGCAGGAGGCCAACTCGTCAGGTCAGTGGCGAGGGACCAAATCGTGGCGAAGCAGCACTTTCAATCTGTTGCCTGCTGAGAGTGGTTGCTGAGTAAATTGCAAGCACTGGCAGTGGATTATCATCATTTGGCGACCGCTACCACCTCCCAGGTGTATACACTGCAGCTGAAACATGTGGCAGGGAGTTCGACTCTTCAGGTCAGTGGTGAGCACAACCGCAATTGCCTGCACTTCGGTAGAGATGTTCAAATTGCAGCGCTTTGTCTAAGCCACTCCTGCAATTCGGTAGAGATGTTCAAATTGCTGCGCTTTGTCTAAGCCACTCTTTCCGCAGTCACTTGAATGTGTCGCCTCCATTCTGAACATTGACCTGCAATTCCTGAACCATGGCGTTTTCCAACAATGACATCACCCATGTTTTTTTCGTTCCTTCTTATTATTATTTTTTTTTTAATGGCTGACTGCAGCAAACGGCACAAAGTGATCAATTTTCACTCGAGCCCAGCACCATTCGCATTCCATGGAGGACATGCTGCTAGATTGCCGAATTCTGCTCTCAAGATCACCATGCACCGTTCGATCCGCGGATGGTCATTACAAAATAAATCTACTGTTCCCGCAGCCCAGGGAAATGTTCGCTTCCGCTTCAACCTCACCTATATCCACTTGCATTGGCTGAGCGTAATTAGTAATTATTAATTGCTCACGAATGACAACCACAAATTCGCTGAAACCCGACCTCTGTACACATCCATTTGCTGAAGCCCGTCTTCATAATGCCAGCCTGTATCAACATTTACAAGACCCCAAGAACTGCCCGCCTAAACTCGTAGTCCAGTGACAATGTACATCAATCATTGTAGTCCAGGTCTTTCATCTCCCAATCTCTACTCCCCAGACAAATTCCGAGGCACTGACCCTCATATGAGAAAGAAAATGACACGTGTTCTCCACCGTACCGCTTGAAGACGGCAATTGCTGATCAACCTTTCTGTTATTTTTTTTGGGGAGGTTTGGGGGCCAGCCACGGCTCTTCCGGGAGCCACGAAATCTTCCTCCAAGGCCGAGGAGTCGAGGACCACCACCTTTGCCCTCTTCATACTAACTTTTTGGTTACTCTTTCCCAAAGCAGAGTCCACACTTACTAACTTTTTCGTTCTTGAAGTATTGCAAAGCTCCTCTCACACGCTTCCAATCCCTTTGAACCTTTGGTGGTTCTTGTCATTGCAAAGAATGAATGCAGATCAGGCAGCCCGTGGATCTTCCTGGAGTCGCACAGATCTTCCTCAAGGCAAGGAAAACCACTTTGGCCCTCTACGTAATATCTCCTTCGGAAGGCAAGAGCCCACATGTGCAATCTCTTCAACTGCCACGGTAAATCCTTGAAGACCCAGATCCCACACATGCAATACTTTGACACACTCCTGATCCATTCCATCCACAACTAGGGTTGTTCTCTCCTCGTTTCGCAGAATGAATGACAATCACACCCCTCCCGCCCCCCCCAATCCTTTGCTAGCATGGTTCTCCTTCCCGCATTGCAGAATGAGTGGCGACGAAACAATTCAATTCACTGTTTGGCTCAGGCAACCAAGCAGTCGAGCGGAAACTCTACATGTTGGCAGCCTCACTGTCAGTGACCTCCGCATCTCCGTCTCCATCTTCGCCAGCGCGATCTTCCTCGGAACACGTTTCTTTCATGAGATATCTTTGAAGTGCACCGTCACCCCTCAGTATGATCGCCCCTTTCCCCTCCCCATCGGGGGGCCCTACAGACTCAGCATTGAGAACCACAGCTTCTATTTTCCCTGGGTCATCTGGCACCTGCACATAGCAATCTCACCATCAGCATCCCAAAAACGTTGTCATCGAATGACGTTGCTGCTAAACGTGTTTGGCTTTCTTTTTTATCTATCTAATAACAATAAGTCAAAAGAAAATGGAAATATTACAGAAGAACTCCCAAAACGTGAAGCAAGCTTCTTCCGGGACTGAAATGAACGACTGAAAACTGCGCACTACGTTCAAGACATTACAATTTACTATCAGACCAAAGCTAAACCCACCACTGTCACCAGACCTATTCTCATAGGCTCTCTTTCGCCCCAGGTTCTGATTCACCAAATCACGGACACAGAAGAAAGAAATGTGCAATGAAATTAGCTGCTGCGTTGAGAATCCCACAGTTGAGGCCAACAACAGGAGGGCAGTTGCATTCGTCATGGTGGGGGGTGACTGTTTACTTGAGCACTCTAGATGGACAGTGGCTCACCTCACACACACCTGTTCATTATGAATTACAGGTGCAGCAGCAGCAAGTCGTGGTGGGGTGTGCCTGTTCACTGAAGCACTCTAGATGGACAGCGGCTCACCTCACACGCACCTGTTCATTATGAATTACAGGTGCAGCAGCAGCGAGAGAGAGGTGAGAGGGGAGAGGAGGGAGGGATAGAGGGCAGCCAGGAGAAAGGGGTTTGGGGGGGCTGAGGCCGAGGTTGCTGTACAATACGGGAATCTGCAGTGTTTTTTTTTTTTCTTCTTTCGTATTTTTTTCTCAAGGGGTGACGGCCTCGAGATATCATTGTCAAGCTGACTGGTCATTTGACTTGTCAGATTCCATCGCCATCCGACCTCAAGTCTGCTCATCAACAGTTCATGGGTGTACTGTTCAGCCACCTGGGCTGGGTTCACGTTGTGGATTTTGCTGCAACCGAAACAGAAAGCATTGGATGGCATGGCATACGAGAAGGTACTGTCCTATATGCCCTAATTTGAAGCAGGTGCACCATGACACCACGTCTTGCTTTTCTGGAAAACTGTAAAACAGTATTATACTCTAAAAAATAATGGAAAGAACCCTGCTGTAGGAGCCGGAGAATTTGGGGGCAATGTTGAGTCAACTTGCAAGGGGGGGAGAGAGAGAGAGAGAGAGAGAGAGAGAGAGAGAGAGAGAGAGAGAGAGAGAGGGGGGGGGGGGGGGGGGGGGTGGGTGGGTTAGCAGCACGTAGTCCGTGCAGGGTGGGTACGTCCGGTAATGCAGATATGTCGGGTAGGGAAGGGATGCCTTGTAGTGGAAGTCGGCCCCGTAGGGTAGGTCGCATAGAGTTCATCTTGTAGTGCACTTACGTTGCGTAGGGTGGTGCAAGTAGGTCGCATAGGGTGGGAGAAGTTGGCGATAGGCCCGTTGGTAGCTGTATTTCTTTCTACTGTTCATGCCTGGGTGCACCTAACCGCAAACATGTCCACAGAGAAGTCGGAACTCCCCCATTTGTGGCCGCATTTAATTTTGTTTTTTTTTGCGCCGGATTTGCATCAAGGCAGTGTCCGAAGCAGGAGCGGGATCCCCTGGGCATTCAGATCTCCCGATCTACAGTCGTCAGCTAAGTACCAACCTACAAAAATGGCACCATGCCCTATACACCTACAACAACCCATGACGACGACCGCAGCAACAACCCATGACGACGACCGCAGCCTCGAACACTCATCCGGCATTTACAATACATGCCCTTTCAGCAGTCACAAAAACAAAGCAAACGAAAGAAAGACCCACATCCCCAATGCACTGACCCCAAAAACACATCCGACCCGGCGAACCGTGATAACGAACTAAAATTTTACATCCAACGTCTCAAAGTCCAATCCCAGACACACCACGATGTGGCAGCTTAAGGGGCGGGACACTATTAGATGAGCCAGCATGCTCCGATCCACATCGCATGGTCAAAACACTCCAGTCGGGGCCACGCACACCACCCGCGGCTGGGAAACTTTCCTAGGGTGTGGGACAATCGCGTAAGCGGGCATACAACCACATGCAATCAGACTCGTTCTCAAACACACTTTTCATGCATGTAMACACCAACGCAGCATACTGGCGACATACACCCACTCAAAATTCAGATATATGGCTTTCAGATACGAGTTCACTCTCAATTGGCTATGGCGACTTCAGCGCCCAAACATCTCACT